GTGAGAGCATGTTAGAACAAACTTTTTCATTCTCAATTCCATGCCTGTTTTAAAAATTTTTATTTTCAAATGCAGGGAAGTGTTTCAAAATTTTGATCCTGTTGCTGTGTCAAAACTAAATGAGAAGAAGTTAACAGCACCTGGAAGTCCTGCAAGCTCTCTTTTGTCAGAGTTAAAGCTCCGGGTAGTTATTGATAATGCGCGCCAGTTTTGTAAAGTAAGCACTTCTCTATTTTGTCCTTCCACCTTCATTTTGCAGAAGAAAAAAAATGCATGTTCTTACCGCTTTGTGAAGCTTTAGTTGAGTTGGACGTTCTAAACATATACAAATGAGCAGATAATTGACGAGCACGGGTCATTCAACAAATACATATGGGATTTTGTGAACAACAAACCTGTGGTCTGCAATTACCGCTATCAACGGCAAGTTCCAATTAAGACATCCAAAGCTGAAATGATAAGCAAAGACCTAGTTAGAAGAGGTTTCCGAGGAGTTGGGCCCACAGTTGTCTACTCTTTCATGCAAGCTGCCGGAATTACAAATGACCATCTCATCAGTTGCTTCAGATTCCCAGAATGTATAGCTGCTGCTGATGCAATGAACAAAGCTGACAGCCTTAAGGAGGACGACGCCCATGGACAAGTCGAGGAAGATGGTGAATTGGGACTAGTAAGGGCAATTGATGATTTGAGCTTGTCCTCATAGGTACTCGTTGTAATTTAAAGGTCATTATAGAGGGCAGTTTCCTGCTCGCCCTTCCCGTGAAGGGTGTGGCTACTGGCAAGTATGTGTACAAATAACTACGAAGCTACTCTTTTTTTTTTTTCGGTCTGCATAGAATTTGTCTGCAAAGAAATTTATATGCAGCTACCCCTTGAAAGTCCTCCAATTCTTTGTTCAGTCTAATACTCTAATTTCGCATCTTGGGGATTCTCTCTCTCTCTCTCTCTCTCTGTACAGTTCTACAACTGCTAATAACGTTTAATGATGATTATGAAATGAATTGATGATGAAGCTCTCAACATATTTCAACCTCTACTAAATTTAGCCTTGTTTCTTAGTGCCATCAAAACTAGGATTTTGGGGGATCTCTTGATTTCTAAAATAAAACAGCATTTGGAGCGATGGCCCACAATAGTATTATTAGATATAAAGGAATTTAGAGCCCCATATATTAGATTATAAAGTGTTTGTGTTTTATAGCTCCAAAGCACGCTTTGACATTGACATGTCATGGTATCATCTCCTTTTGAAATAGAATTGTAGCGATTGATTTTGGTCGTATAGTTGAACCGTTTGAATAGTACGGAGTAAACAATTGTTTTTCTAGCCATCCTGGGATCTTAGGTGACGAACTATTTACAAGCCTTTTTAATCAGTGAGATGAGCAATATTTAAATATTTGACCTGCAAATTTTGGTTCGACTTTTTTTTTTTAACACTTGGTTTGCTTTACACTATGTTTGGTTCAATGAATTAGGAAGGGAAAGAAAAGAAAATGAGTTTCTCTCATTTTTCTCACCAAAATGGAAGAAATTTAGTTTTTCCTCTTAGTACATTTTACCTTTTCTTTTTCTTTTCTATCCACTTTTCTTTTCTTTTCCTTTCAAATTCCCTGAACCAAACATGGTTTTAGGCTCCTTTTGGTACACACAATTCAAATTATGGAATTGGAATTGGAGACAACAACTCCAATTCTGTGGTTTGGTAGCACAAAAATATGTGTATTTCGAATTTGTAGTGCCAAAAATGAATTGGAACTAGAAAATTCAATTTCATCGAATCAATTCTATAGAATTTCATTTTCCAATTCAATTCTAATTATGTCAATTTCATATACCAAACAGACCCTTTAAAGAATTTGGAGGGAAAAGGAAATTATTGATTTCTCCCATTTTTCCTTCCATTTTGTAGTTTTGTCTTTCTCATTTTTTTCCTTCTACTTTTCTTTTTCTTTTTCTTTTCCTCTCTAACCAAACATGAAAAATGGTTTCCCTCTCATTTTCTTGTCTTATCCATTTCAAATTACTTGAATCAAACATAGGGTAAGGAAATGAAAATCTCATTAACTCAAAACACGAAAAACAAAGTTTGGTGGAGAATCAACCCACAAAAGCAAGACTCGGGCCTCAGCCTGTTCAGCTAACAAGATGATGGCGACCTTATTAACAATGCAACAAACAATATCAAGAAGAGTCAGGGATACGATCCTTAATAATAGTACCAAAATAAGAAGAGTAGGAGTCACCAATATACCAGAATAGAAATTCTATGTTTTTATTGCCGAAATAGGACTTTGCACTGTGGTAATTGTTAGTTTCATATTGTGTTGGCATTATTTTTTGGCAAATGAATAGATTTACCTAGAATTATTTAAGAGGTTTTATTTAGACTTAGAGTCCTATCATGTGAAGAAAGAGAGAAAGGAAAGAGCTTGAAGAGAGAATTCTAATCCTACTTGGTTTACTATTCTTGAGAAGGAAGCCATGGTTGATGTAACGCCCCAAAACATACCCTAGAATTATTAATAAATAATTATTCGATTCATCAAATTTGTTTTGATTAATATACCCCCTCCGTCCTAAAACTTTCTTCCCACTTCCCCTTTTTCTCCGTCCTAAAACTACCTTCCCATTAGAAAAAAAAAGATAACAAATGACATTAATACACTCATGTATTTACACCAATTATCTTCTAACTCTATATTTTGAATGATTGCAAAAAAAAATTTGCAAAAAATCTTTTTTAAGAGGGGTAAAATTTGAAGTCAAAGCCAAAAATTAAAAATGGGGAAAAGTCAAACTGGGAAGAAAGTTTTAGGACGGAGGGAGTATATTGTTGTTGGGCTTTGAGCCGAAATAAAATATGTATTAATATCCAATAAACATAATTGGGATAAATCTCATAGAGATAAATCCAACCTGATTGACTTATTGTTTGACCTTGATTTGGAACCAGAGTATAGACCCAAATCAAGGATAAATGAAGAAGTTGTTGTGATATGAACTTTGAAATTAATTCTTGAAATAAACCATCAGAATAAATTAAATGTGAGAACCTTTCATGATAAAAGTCAATTAAACCAATTTTGACTCTGTCAAAGCCAAACACCCAAAAATATGATGTCGGAAAAAGTATTTAAAATAATTATGAAAATTATATCATTTAATAGAGTTTAACTGTCTGATCGCAACGATACAACGAAATTCAATTTGGAGAAAGTTAGACCAAAAAGTGTACCCCGACTGGGGCCTAAATTGGTCCCAATCAGAAAAATGTCATGGAAATATTCGATCGGCGCAGACACCTCCACTACGCGATTCAGGGACGCACCAATGACTCAGCACTGTCCTCTTCCTCTTCTCTTCTCCTATATAAGGTTACTTAATCCTTACCAATTCTGCACCAATTCTCTGGAAATTTATACCATTGTGTTCATAAGAGTGAGAGGAGCAGTCTGGTGTTGTTGGTTGCCGCCGAAGTCTCCAGAGTTGGGAGTAATCGTCGCCGGAAGTTTCGCCGGAAAATTCTCAAAACCTTCGATAAGCTTCGAGGTAAGCCCGTAGATAGATCTAGTGACTAGAATGTTCGTGTAGATCGTTTCTACGTTCATAAACGGTCATTTAGTTGAGTTTTGTGTTTGACATGCTTGAAGAACCAATGATCATAAACAATGAAATTGATGTTAAAACTATGAATTAATGATGCAAAAATGATCTATGAACCTTGGAGAACATCTCTATATAGTTTCGTTGAAGTTCGGTGACTAAAAGTGGTATTTCTGAAAAATGGACCGAAGGTTGAAGAAGATGAACGTGGCTGAAAAACCACTGTCTGGATCGATCATATTATCTGGATCAATCCTCTGGGAGTTTTTCTTCTAGTTTGGATCGATCCAGAGGGTTGGATCGATCCCTCGAAGTTCTGATCCGAAAATTTGTTCGAAAATGCTATTTTTGTGCTCTAAAATCCTATTTTTGATACCAATTGATTATGATCATTATAAAAATGATTTGCCATAATAAAAATGATGTTTTTAAAAAATAAAAATGTTATGTGATGCATGACGATAAGTTTGGGTGTTAAAACTTGAAGCTAGGCCGCTATTTGTTATCAATTGTTATGTTAATTGATGATTATGATAAATGAATATTATGGATGATTATGAGTAATGAACCTACTGATTAAAATGAGTATTTATGATTGAATCGTGAGTAAAATGAATACATTTAGAATTATGAAATGATTTGTAGTGTTAAGAGAACTTGAAGAACTCTAAGATATACCCATTTAGAGAATTGATGTTAAGGCTATCTAGAAGACCTCTAGAATAGATTTCATATTAGTATGGATTTTTGGAACATAAATATTCAGTGATTGGATGAAAATGTAATAATGGAATTCGTAGACCAAAACTGGAGAATCACTCGTTTGGAAATACTTTGACTCAATAATGATTAATCACTGTATTGTTGTTGCCTCGAACTAATTATAGTTAAAGCTTCTGAGAATTGTTATTGACTTAAACTAAATAAAGTTTAAACGTCGAAGAAATTAATGCCTTAAACCAATTCTAGTTTAAGCGTCGGAGAACTGTTGCCTTAAACTAATTATAGTTTAAGCGTCTAAGGATTGTTTGCCTTAAACTAATCATAGTTTAAGCGTCTGAGAATGAAATTATGATTTGGCCTTAGACTAAGATTAGCTAAGAGCGTTGTTATGGTCTGGCCTTAGACTAAGATTAGCTAAGAGCGTTCCTATTTGACGGAGGATAACCCCGTGTGAGCCTAGGGTTGACGTCAGCTGGCACCTCACCGTAGGGGATAACGCTAGGCTCAGCTCGAACATCTCCGCCTGGCGCACGAGCTCGGCTCGGCCATCTCCGCCCGGTGCACGAGCTCCGCTCGGCCTTCCCGGCTCGACTCGGCCCCCAAGCCAAGCCCGAACCACATGACAACGACATAAAGATAACGACCTGCGAAAGGGACTTAGTGATAGTGATAGGATTAAAGGGGCAAGACTAAGGGACACGTGACGTCCGCTAAGCGACGAACCTCGATCAAAGGGCTTTGACCCATTGAACTGTATACCCTATAAAAGGGGTGAGACCCCTCATTGTTAGGGGGGGGGGGGGAATTCTAAGTGAATAAACTCTTACTTTGCTTTCTCTCTCTAAAACTTATATTATGTAATATATTTGGTGGTTTATAGTCATCAAATTGGTGCTTTCATTGAGAGAAGAGAAACATACTCGTAGGTTAACTCTCGGAAGCGAGAATGGTGCAGACAAGGAGCAACATCCCCACCACCAGCCACGTCGTACGCGAGGAGAACGTGCCGGGCAACGGCAACGGAAAAGGAGAGATCACCTCGGCTCCGGACACGGTCCAGGTGCTGTTCGGTTTGGGAGTGACCGCGGAGCAACTCCAAGGTGCCGTCGCGGCCCTCTCCGCCATGGGCGGGAGCAGACCTGGCACTGGAGCTACCCAGGCTCCGCACAGTCCCAATACCGAGCACGCTGCCACTTCCCAACACAAGGGGAAGAAGATCTGGAGGAGCAGGAGGAGGCCCGGCAAGGCTCCGGTGATTGAGGAGGTGCTGGTGGAGGACGTCCCGGGCAGGGATGACGACGAGTCCAGCGAGTGTCGAGTATCGGCCTTCAAACGCCTGGGGGCGAGGAGATTTGAGTGTCAGCTTTCGACAGGCTCAACCGCGGACCAGAAGGCCGCCCAGGTGACCTCCGCCGACAGATATCCGAGGGCAGGCGGAGGCATGCCGAGGAGTCAGCAACCTCGGACACATGCTCGGCGAGGCCTGAGCGCAGCGAAGGTCGACGCGACGAGCGGACTCAGCGTCGCCAGAGTCCAACGAGAACCGAGGAAGGTCCGCATACTCGCGCTCGGCTCTGTCCTCCGCAAGAGGGTGGACGAGCGTAGGCCATACCCGGATGTTCTTCCCGGATGAAGGTCAACACTCGCGCTCGGCTCTGTCCTCCGAAAGAGGGTGGACGAGCGTAGGTCATACCCGGATGTTCTTCCCGGATGAAGGTCAACCCTCGCGCTCGGCTTTGTCCTCCGCAAAAGGGTGGACGAGCGTAGGGCATACCCGGATATTTTTCCTGGATAAAAGTTAAGTGCCGATGTTTCCTCGCAACGTTAGAGGGCTCCGCGTGTGATTGATTCAACCGACTCCAGAAGGGGACCATTGATGACTGGGACACGCTGGCGGAGAAGTTTCTGACGCACTTTGCGGCCAACAGAAGGCAAAGGCTGCCCTACTCCCACCTCATCAACATCTGCATCCGCAAAGGAGAGAAGGTCAGTGACTTTATAGTTCGGTGGGAGAAGGAAGCCCGAGACGTGCATGGGGCTGATGACCAAGCCTTGGTGGCAATGTTCCAAGCAGCCCTTTCCCGTGGAGAAGTGAGGAAGGAGCTCCACAAGAATCCACCCCCCCACGTACCAGGAAACCTTGGCGCGCGCTAAGTTCTTGGCCTCGGAGGAGTTCGATGACGCTCCCGACTCCGAGGTCGTGGACTCGGGAGTGATCGCAAAGAAGAGGAAGAAGAAAAAGGACTATACTGTGGGCCCTAGGACGGCCTCGGCTAGAGTATACTCCGTAGTGGCGCCCGTGGGGACGGGTCGAGAGCTGGCCCTCTCTCCGCTCCCTCACGTGGAGACCTACGCGGTGTCTGGCGGTATCAAGTATTGCGAGTACCATCGCAACAACACGCACAACATCAAGGAATGCTTCACCCTCTAGAAGGAGATCCAATGACTTATTGCCCGAGGGCCGTCTCTGTGGGATGACGGAGCAGCCCCGTCGCGGGGGGCGTCGGAAGGAAGAACTTGGAGGAAACGTGCTGAGCTGGTCGCAGTGGCCATGCAAGCAAGAAATCCCGAGAAGAGGCACATCGGGCGGGAATGCGATGACCTGGACGACGACGAAGCCCCAAGGATACCTGGTGGGGTTCATCCACGGAGGAAACATTGGCAGAGACTGTAACACCCTAATCCGTATAACCTGGAATTACACGAATTAAGGTGAAACTGGAGTTAAATAAAAATTTCGCTTGACATTTGAGAATGAAAATTACTTATAAATGTTAAATTTACAGACACTAGATCGCGACCCATTTAAAAATATTTTCGGAGTAACGCGGAAGTACAATAATAATCAAGTCATGACACATTTAAAATCTTGATGATCAAACATTTCCGTGCAATCCCCGCATCTCCTCTGACTCAATGCCCTCCGGGAGTTTTTCCGTTCTTGTCTTCTTGTTACCAACGTGTAGTCAACGAAAAATACAAACTACACGCTCAGCGAAACCGCTGAGTGGTACCACACTAGAATTATAGAATAATTCACAGACAACATATACATACACACACACACACACACATATATATTATATATATATATAATATAATATAATATATATATATATATATATATATATATATATATATATATATATATATATATATATATATATATATATATATATACATACACGTCCACAAAAATGTATAACAATTTTCATCATATGGCACATTTTAAAATATGATCAAGTTGATGGTTTATGATGATAAATATTTAATGATGGTTACCTGATGGCACACTTAATCAGTTTGATTGTTCTTGATGGTGATTACATGACACCTTTGTAATCAATATAATTGTTCTTGATGATGATTACATGACACCTATGTAATCAATATAATTGTTCTTGATGATGATAACAAGATGCATGAACCTAACGTGCAAGGACGACCCTTGCGCTATGAGATTCGCCCAGGTTGTACGACGAACTCACGCCACCTTAGTCTCACGAATGAGGTGAGACTAGAAACAATATGGGGGTGGTACTCGAAAGCCTGAATACCATGTACGTACACTAAGCCCGAACGTGTGATGTCGAACTACTAAGTCCCGCACAATCACGCTATAAGAGACGCACGAGGCATGATTTCTTACGCATGCATATGATATGAAATGCTTCAATATGAATGATGAAATGAATGATATGATATGAACAATTTGCAAACAATATGAGTATGTAATCATGCATGAGTTTATTTGGTTGAAACATGATTAAAATATCATTTAATCAAGCTACAGGGCTCGGAAAAGTCGACCTTTTGGCACGGCAGTCGACCGTGCTTCAAATCATCTCGTCAGTTTGGAACACCGTGACGGTCGACCGTGGTTGACCGGTGGTCGACCGTTGCTGACTGCTTGGAGGTGACGGCGTTCGGCTAGGCTGGCGACGGTCGAGCGTTTGACGGTGGCGGTCGACCGTTCTGCTGACAGTCATGGTCCGTTTCGAAGTTTAATATGACGGTTTACCGTTTGCGTCGACCGTTTGGGTCTGCGAATCTTACTCTTGATATTTTGAGTGTCTAAAATACTTCTTTAAGTCTTTTAAACACCTTTGATTAACATATACATGTTGTTGCGTTGATTTCTAATGTTTATATTTGTTTATGTATATTTATTAACTTTATGAACTTGGTGTATTTTGATCTCAACACAAAGATGACTTATATATATATCACATATATATTTTGGGATGATTTCAACATATGGATTAATATATATATATTCATGTACGTATGTGGTGAATGATTCGACAAGTCTAATGCAAGGGTACAGACCTGGAAATCATCGGCCAAAACCTCATGGACGAGCGGTAGTGAAAACAACATCGAAATTCACCAACTTTGTCATTTCCGTCACAATTGGACAGCCTGCTGTATTTTGGGCATATCTCCATCGTTTCTTCACGGAATTGCAAACCGTTTGATTCTGTGGATTCCTAAGATGTAAGGCTATAACTTTCGCAAAGAAAGTATTTCGAGTTAACAGATGTAAGATAGCGTAAATCGGACCTGAAGTCAAGGGACAGTTGCTGTCCAGGATTTTCAAATACTTCGGTGAACAACGGTTCCGACAATCAACTTATCAATTTAAATATTCCAACGTCAAATCTTCTCTACGATATCTCCCGTAAGTTCCTAATAATCGTTAGAGAGTTTATGGTAAGTATTTGGAATGAAATAATATGAATTTGGTGAAGAAACACATGCCAACCCGAGGAGCTCACCACCACTGGCGCAGTCCCGGTATTTTGGCCATATCTCCTTCGTTACTTAACGAAATCACAAACCGTTTGTTGGGCTAGATTCGTAACATCCGGGGCTACAACTTTTGTTGAGAAAGTATTTCGAGAAAATGGATGGAAAAATTAAGTTTTTACCTTGAAGTTGACGCTGCGTTTTTGTACTCAAGATTTAAAAATTTTGGATGATTTCTTGCTCCTTCTTCTTCTTCCTTGAACCAAATATGGAGTTACTAAGTTTCTTATCCTTGCTACTGCTGATACGAAGTGGGAGATAATGATATCAAAAGAGAGATGGTGAATGATGATGTGTGATGGTGGAGGGATGGTGGAATATTGAAATACAAAAAGGCTTTGGAGTTATTATACTAGTGGGGTGTTAGTGGCTTTGTTAGGTGGAATAGGGTGGCAAATGGAGAAAAATAGGGCTGCGTGATTTGGGAGAAGATTTGAGAATTAAAGTTTTGGCTTTTAGCCAAAATTGAACAGTTTACCCCATAAGGTACGCGCTTTTTCGCCCAAACTGTTCCGAATTGAAAATGGATTACGTTTTTGGAATGAGACTTCCAAAACTAAAATTTTGACATATTCAAAATATTTTTCTGAAAACTTTTATTTTTATTTAATGTCTAGGTCTGGTCTCAGTTATAAATTAATTTAATAATATGAATGAGATAAAAATATATGAATTAAATCCAAATGATTAATATGATGTTATCAAGTCTCAAAGATTAAGATTCCTAATCTTATGAAATCACGTTTGAATTGAGTTTAATTTATGGGTCAAAGTAATAAATTTTAATATTTAAAATCGTCATAGCTTGAAATCTATAAATTAGTTTGGTTCATAAAATGTGTTGTTGGATTCATCTCTTCGAGACATATCCATAAAAATAAGTTTTTAACAAAAAGTCATTATTTTGAAAATCCATTTATTTTTGGTCAAACGTATAAATATTCCTTGTTGGACCAAAATGATATTCAAAACTATTGTTTTAGAGTAAATTCCATAATTGGTCCTTTATAACATGGGGGTTTCCCTATTTAGTCCTCTATTATCAAATATTACTCCCGTAGTCCTTTTTTTAAGGGTGCCTTTCCACAAATGGTCCTTTTTTGATCTTCTGCCATGTTGGTGTTACTTTAAAGGCTAAAAGCATGGAGTTCACAGGAGATCTAAGGCCCGTGCGCACTCCCCTCTCCGGGTTCACAGGAGACTCCATCGAGGCCGAAGGAGTCATCACGGTGCCCGTGATAGTAGTGGATGGTGCGCACAAGGCCAAGTTGAAGATGGAGTTCATGGTTGTAAGCATCAACTGCGTGCACAACCTGATCCTAGGACGGCCCGGCCTTGAGGACCACGAATGTGTGATCTCCCCATATTACTTATGTATGAAGTTCCCCACTCCTTCGGGTATCAGGGTGGTGAGGGGAGATCAGAAGCTAGCCCGTTCGTTCTATGTCCGGATCACGAAGAAGTTGCCAAGGGATGAGACATTGGTCGTGCACACCCAGGAGGAGATGAGGAAGCAAGAAGCGCGGCCGAAGGCCGAGCTCGCCGAGGATGTCGAGAAAGTGCTGCTCGACCCTGAGATGCCCGAGCGGAAGGTGAAGATAGGGGCGAGCTTGACTGGAAACCTGCGGAAGCACTTAGTGGTCGTGCTCACCGCCTCCCGCGTGATCTTTGCATGGGGACCCGGGGATATGCCAGGGGTGGATCCCAAGATCATATGCCATCGGTTCGGAGTCAACCCGGAGTCTAGGCCGGTGAAGCAGAAGAAGCGATTCCTCTCATCCGAGCTGAGGCAGTTCGTCGCACAAGAGGTGGCTACCCTCCAAAGTATTGGGCATATGAGAGAAGTCAAGTATCCGGAGTGGATGGCTAACGTGGTGTTGGCACCGAAGGGAACCACTAGGAGGATGTGCGTGGATTATAGCGACCTGAACAAGGCATGCCCCATGGACCCGTTCCCACTCCCAAACATTGATCAGCTAGTGGACGAAACGGCGGGTTGCGAGCTCATGAGTTTTATGGATGCCTTCAGCGGATACCACCAGATCAGGATGCATCCCGAGGACAAAGAGAAGACGTCCTTCACCACTCCCGCTGGAGTGTATTGCTACAAAGTGATGCCTTTTGGGCTCAAGAACGCTGGGGCAACTTACGCTAGGACAGTGAGCAAGCTCTTTGCCCCCGTCCTCGGGAGGAGCATGGAAGCATACGTCGACGACATGATTGTGAAGAGCAAGAAGGCGACCACCCACGTAGAGGACTTGGAGGGAGTTTTCAAAATCATGGAGAAGTACAACCTTCGGTTGAATCCGAAGAAGTGCACGTTCGGAGTCCAGGGCGGAAAGTTCTTGGGACACATGGTGAGCCGGAGCGGCATTGAACCCAACCCCAAGAAGGTGCGCGCCATCCTTGAAATGGAAGCCCCACGAAACGTCAAGGAGGTGCAGCGCCTGACTGGGAAGTTGGCGGCGCTCAGCCGCTTCCTCTCCATGGTGGCAGACCGAGCCGCTCCGTTCTTCCAGGCCATGAAGAGGGCTCGGGGGTTCGTATGGACGGAAGAATGTTAGCAATCCTCGCGAAACTCGAAGCCGGGGAGACCTTATACCTTTACTTGGGGTTATCGCCTAAGGCATTGAGCTCGGTCCTCGTGCGGGAAGAAGACGGAGTCAGCACCCGGTATACTACACGACAAAGACACTGAGGGACGCCGAGCTCAGGTACTCTGTGGGCGAGAAGACGGTTCTGGTTGTGGTCACAATCGTACATCGACTGACGCCCTACTTCCAAGCTCACTCGGTCCAAGTACTTTCCCGGCAGCCCATGGGCGCGCTACTGAGGAGCCCGAATGCGCCCTCTCGTATGTATAAGTGGGAAGTGTTCCTTGGAGCCTTCCAAATTGAGTTTAAGCCAAGACCAGCAATCAAGGGGCAGGCGCTGGAAGACTTCGTGGTGGAATGCACCGCTCGGGAGGAGTCGAGCCCGGAAGCGCCTGAAGCCGATGATTGGTGGACAGTTTTTACCGACGGCTGCTCCGTCGCCAAAAACTCGGGGGGTGGAGAGGTAGTCATCACTCCCGAAGGCACTCTTGTGCGGGCTACGCCTAGCAACTGGATGAACACGACAAAGCTAAGGGTAAAGTGTGATTCGAATCTAGTAGTTGGCCACGTCTCCGGAGAATTCGAGGCAAAAGACGAAAGAATGAAGAAATATAGGGATGCCGCTTTGGAATTGCTTAAGAGTTTCACCGCGTATAGTATGGAGCATATCCCTCGAGCGGAGAACGCCGAGGTGGATATTTTGTCGAAGCTGAGCTCTGAAACGCCCGAGCATATCAGGGGAATGGTGAACGTGGACGAACTGTCCGAGCTGAGCATCAATGCGTTCCCCGTGGCAATGATCTGTGCTCAGCCAAGAGATGGACGAGTGTAGGCCATACCCGTATGTTTTTCCTCGATGAAGGTCAACACTCGTGCTCGGCTCTATCTTCCGCAAGAGGATGGACAAGCGTAGGCCACACTCGGATGTTTTTCCAAGATGTAGGTCAAACACTCGCGCTCGTCTGTCCTCCGCAAGAGGATGAATGAGCGTAGGCCATACCCGGATGTTCTTCCCAGATGAAGGTCCGCACTCGCGCTTGGCTCTGTCCTCCACAAGAGGGTGGACGAGCGTAGGCCATACTCGGATGTTCTTCCCGGATGAAGGTCAACACTCACACTCGGCTTTGTCCTCCGCAAGAGGGTGGACGAGCGTAGGCCATACCAAGATGTTTTTCCCGAATGAAGGTCAACATTCGTGCTCGGCTCCGTCCTCCTCAATGTTAGAATAAGTGCCCTTCACTAGAGGGGGGGTGAATAGTGAGGCACGAGAATGTTTATAAATTTTTGTGGAATAAAAATCACAGGGATAAAGTAAAGAGCGGAATAAAAAAGCGTAAGGAAAGAACACACCGATTTTACCCTGGTTCACCACAACGTGTGGCTAGTCCAGCCTCCCGAGAGACTCTCTCGAGCTACACTACTTCCGCTAAGCTTACGCGTTCTTAACAAACCGTTACAACCTGAGAACTCGAGTCCCGCGAGCCTCAACAACACTTGCTTGGAGATACCGCACTCCAAGACTTCAACCCAAAGGAAAATACCTTTCCTTCGTACACCCAAATTTTTCAGAGCTGCAGGGTGATAATCGATTGTCTAGACATGATAATCGATTATTAAAAGATTCCCTGTCCAAAAGTTTAAAAAACTATCCGTTGGAGGACAACGGTAACCCAGATAATCGATTGTCAACAAGTGATAATCGATTATTGGTCCTCTCAGAAGATTCTGGGTTTTGGCTGCAAAGACTGATAATCGATTATTGCATAAGTGATAATCGATTATTAAGTGCTTCAGAACTTTGGAAGTTCAAAGCTGCAGGGGCTGATAGTCGATTGTCACTAAGGTGATAATCGATTATCACCCAGCTAAAGTCTAGCCAGCTGAAACCCGTTTTGAAAAACCGAGGTCCAAAATAAGGTGATAGTCGATTATCAACCAGCTGCAGGGGCTGATAGTCGATTGTCGTTGAGATAGATGTTCTCCAATGAGTCTACAAGATCATCACAAGAAACCCTTCTCGCCAAGCGAGCATCATTTTCGGCAAAGACAACATGAGGAGATTCCTCAACGGTTAAGGTGCGTTTGTTGAAGACTCTATAAGCCTTACTACGCAATGAATAACCAAGAAAAATTCCTTCATCCGACTTTGCATCGAATTTACCCAAATTATCTTTTCCGTTATTGTGAACAAAACATTTGCAACCAAAGACTCGAAGATGGGAGAGGTTTGGTTTTCTTCCTTTG